AACCAAAAGATTTGCCCTTTGCACTGTTGTTGTTTTTTTGTTTAAGAAAACTTCTCAGAGGGGGAAAAAACCCCTTGAAGCTAATGACTCAGAGAAATGATCAGAAATTGGAGACTTGTAAAGTCCTTTGCCATTCTTTGTGCTAATAGAGCCTATAGACATGCTCTTTATATTTTCAGAACAAGGAACAACATTCTCTTTTAAATAGATATTAAATAGAACCTGACACCAATGACATTTAACACTAACAAATGTGTTCAGTCTATTATTATCAGCTTGAGATTTACTCTCAACTGCAGACTTTATTGCTCAGGATCTGACCTGAGTTTTGGATTTCCATGCTCCTTCCTGATCCTCTGCTGTTGTTGGTTTGAACATCTTAGCTGATGAAGAGTTCTGGACAACTTGAAAGCTTTCATATTGTTTTGGATTGTTTGATATTATTAAAATACAGGTTTTGCCTTTTTCTGTATAATAGTGTCAATTTCATGAAGCAATAATCATAACTACAAGTATCTATATATGCAGAAACCCAACTGCTAGCAGCTATCAATATTGGGGTTAGCATATTTAAATTGCAAAATTTCAGATTACTAGGTGAGAACAATAAGATAGAGAATTTTGTATCTCTTTCCTGCTATACACTGGATGTCTGCATTTTTATAGCTCAGATAGGGCATACTTACCCAATAATTTAAAGAAAAAAAACACTCCAAAACAGTGGCATCCAAAATAGGCAAGGCAACAGTTGTGGTGTTGTAATCAAAGTCCTGCCACTTTGCATGTGTCAAGTTGATATTGAACAAAAGGGCAGAACTGGGCAGTAATGTTGCAACAAGCATCTTGACTATTTGATGATCCCTGCAGACACTACTGTGCCAGAACCAATCAATGTTTTTTTTAAAAAGTGTGCTAAATGTGACAATCAGAATAAATCACTCCCTGATTTAATGATATTTATATAATTTATATAAATTTATATAAGGAATAAGGGGCTACTACGCAGATACAGTAAAGCTAGTGTTTTTATGCAGAGAAAAACAGCCATCAATTCACACATGTTGTGCTGGGCAACATAACCAACAATAACAACAGAAATCTCAGAAGACCTGCCTTTTCAGAGACCTGAACAAAATTCTTTCACAAGTGTCACTATCAGGTAAATTCAATATATCGACTGCAGCTTTGTGTACTTAAATGTGTCTAATGTCAAATCTGTTGCAATTTTGAATGCCACATATCCAAAGTTATTCCCGAGTTTCCCATTTTCAGACCAAATATCAATGGAAACAATGTCAGTAACAAACTAACAAATATAAACCTTCCCTTTACACATAACTAGGAATTCTGGGACAAACATTTTCCCAATATCAGCAGTCAAGGGAAACTGTCAAACATCCTAAAGCAGTGGTGGCGAACCTATGGCACCCGTGCCAGAGATGGCACTCAGAGCCCTCTCTGTGGGCACGCGCGCTGTGCCCTGGAGATGGCAACCGTCCATCTTCAACCAGCCACCCACTAACTCGCAGAGGTCCCACGTGGCCAGATGCATCCCAGAACGGCTGGTTTCCCTCCCCCCCCCATCCTGTTCCTCCTAGCCTCGCATACTCTCCTTTTCCTAGGCACGACTCATGCATCGCCTCCTCAGCTGTCGGCCGGCCATCCAGCTTGGAGGCGGCTTCTCTGAACTGATGGCGGTGGGCTGCAGAGCCCAGAGTGTGCCGGTTGAGGGGCTGGCAAGCTGTAGCTGCTGACGGACACTGTTGGCCCCCATGCACTCGCTGGCCTGTGGGGGGGGGCGATGGTGTCAGGCAGCAGCCGCCCTGGCCCCTGCCTCACCTTGCCCTGCGACCATGGCACACACACCCCCGCTTCGCCTTGCCTCACCCCACAGGACGAGCCTCCTGCCCACTGCCCCACCTACCAGAGACCCCCTGGATCTCCTCCAACCCTTCCCCACAGGCATCCCTCCCCATCAGCAACATCAAGGTGACCACACCCACCTTGACCACACCCACCCAGTCTGCCATGACCACCATAGCCACATCCACCCAGTGGGCCATCCCACCTGGCATCCGGCAATAAATAAGTGGGGTTTTGGGTTGCAGTTTGAGCACTCGGTCTCTAAAAGGTTCGCCGTCACTGTCCTAAAGCCAGGGCTTTTTTTCAGCGCCTTGCGCCGCCTTGGCGCAAGGCCGTGGAAAAAGGCCCGGCCGGCGTGGCCTTTATCGGGGAGGGTGTGGCCTTTATCGGGGAGGGTTTAAAATGAACGTAAGGACAAGAGATTTCCCCGCCAGGATCCCAAACTACTCCCGCACCGGTCCAAACTCAAGGCGGTGGAAAAGAGCGAGAAAAAAAGCCCTGCCTAAAGCATTCTAGATGGCAATCAGGATTTGTTTTTTTTCTCACAGTTGCTGTTTTAAAATAGTGAGCTGTAAAACTTTCTACAAATTTTCACAGTAAAAGATTTGTAAACTTTATAATCATGAAATGGTATAAAAGCAAAAGATAAGAAAACAAGGATTAGCACTGATTGTAAAAAGGAGTAATGATGGAAAAGGAGCAGCAATGGGAAAAATAACATTTTTTTAACTAATAAAGAATGGAAAAAAACCAAAAGTGCAGAGTGGAGAGAGATCAGAAACAGAGAGAACAGAAAGAGCCAATAATTAAGTCCAAAGACTAAGAAACAAGATGAGTTGAAAAAAGATATTTAACAACTATTAACATAAATGAAGACGAGTAGAAAATTGTTGAAAGGAATCAGAAGCAAGCAAAATGAAATATAAATATTATTCATTTTAATACACAAAATAAGCCATCAGAATATATCCAAATCAGTATTCTCAGTGCATTTTATCTATAGAATACAATTTATTCCTATCCAAACTGAAATGAAATATAGGTAGTCCTCGAGTTGCAAATGTAATGGAGCTTGCCCATTCCACTCATAAATCAAAAATTCGTAGAGTGAATCTCGTTCGAGGTACGAGACCACTCCATTGCTCGTTACAGCGCACACGGCTTGTTAAGCAAACATGAGGTATCTCAGGGCGAGAAAGGCCATGGAGGGCCTAGTGCTGGAACAGGCCCCTAAGGCCTCCCCGACCCACAAAGATACCGCATGCTTCCCCCTCCCTTCCTGCCGTGCCGGACTCACCGGGAAAAGATCCATCTCCTCTCTGCCGCAGTTCCTGCTGCCACCCGGATTTGAGACCAGGGAATGCTTCAGCACATCCTGCATGGCCCAATCTGGGCTCCAGAGGCCTTTTCCAGGCCTCTGCGGCCTGGATCTAAGGCCAGGGAACACTTCTGCGATCCTCCCGTGGCCCGATCCAGGCTCTGGAGGCCTTTTCCAGGCCTGATCGGGCCGCGGGGGGTCTCGGAAACCTCCCCCGGCCTCAGATTCTGGCCACAGTGCCCTGGAAAAGGCCTCCAGAGACTGGATCGGGCTGCGGGGGGGGCATAAGCTTCCAAGGGCCTGATCCAAGCCTCAGAGAGGTTTTCCAAGCCATTTGCACTAGGAACGGAGGTTGGGGAGGACTTCTGCATGCTTCTGGAGATTGGATCCAGCCCTCAGAGGACTGCTCCAAGTGCTGCTGCCCAGAACGGAACTTCCAAGGGCCTGATCCAAGCCTCGGAGGCATTTTCCTAGCCATTTGTGCCAGGGATGGAGGTTGTGGGGGGACTTCTGCACGACTCCGAGGCTTGGATCAGAACCCTTGGAAGTTCTGTTCCAAGCAGCAGCAGCTTGGAGCAGTGCTCTGAGGGCTGGATCCAACCTCCGGAGACATGCAGAAGTCCCCCCCCCAACCTCCATTCCTGGCGCAAACAGCTAGGAAAACTCCTCTGAGGCTTGGATCAGGCCCTTGGAAGTTCCGTTCCAGGCGGCAGCAACTTGGAGCAATCCTTCGAGGCCTCCCCCTGCCTCCGTTCTGGGCCGCTTGGAGGAAGGCTCTGGGGACAATGGGGTCACTTTCTCCCCCTGCGCAGCGAGCTCCAGCGGGCTGGACGCGGGTGCAAGGAGCCTGGCCTTCTCCCTCAATTGAAGGCTTCAGGCTTGCTGTCAGGCAGAAAGGAGTTGGGGGCAGGAGCAGGAGACAGGCACCTTTTGCATAGAGAATGAAAGTTTCTGAGGTCTGTGATTTGGCGCAACTTCAAACATTTGCGCGAGATCATGAACTTCAGAAACTTCCATTCTCAGTGCAAAAAACATTTCCAAGCCAACTCTCCTCTCCTTCAAAGGGAAAGAAACCACAGCAGAGAGGATTTTTGTAAGGTAAGTGAGTCCGGCACGGCAAGAAGGGAGGGGGAAGCAATTGTGAGGAGTGGGGGGGTATAGGGTGACTGTTGCAGTGCCACTGAAGTCACTCGTAAGGGCGAATGACTGCTGTGGTACTGTAATATTCGTAACTTCGGGACTTGCTCATAAGCACTGAGGGGTGGTCATCACATAACTTTCAACGAGTGTTAAGTGAACGCTCGCAACTCGGGGATTACCTGTACAATACAAATACTGATTGGATATTTTTTTATGAAGGAGTAGTTCCCAGGTGCCGTTGTGAAAATGTAGTGTTATTGTAAATGAAGATTTAAAGATAAGTAACACTAAAATTTCATAATTGCACCTGTGAACATTGAAAAGCTATCTGCAAAAAAATGGCTTAATAAAGACAGTTGTTCTCCCACAGAGAAAGCTAAATGCCTGATCACATTTGAGGAACTGAATTGTCTCCCCTTCAAATTAACAAATTAACAACAGATTGCCTTGGTAAAACTGATGCTTTGATATGCAAGTGTTTAGAGTAATTTTCATATAATTATATCTTTAACTTCTTTTGAAAACAAATATGTTTGTTTGAGGACATCTTATTTGGGGACTGTTTAACCCCTTATTTGTACACCAAGATGCTGGCAGGTAAATGGCCTAGAATGAAATAACACAAACAAACATGAAAAAAGTTGCATGTTATATGATCTTTCTAATCAAGAGATCTTACCATAAGTGACTATCAACAGCACAAAGTTAATGTTAGAAAATAACCGGACAATGGATTTCAGATAGGAATAGTCCTCTGGAGCTGCTGCCTTAATCACAGCCTGGGCTGGGCTTGGAGGATATGGAGGCTTTTCCTGAAACACTAAAGAAAGAAGGGCAGAACCAGGAATGATTAACTGTGGATAAAAATAAATTAAAATAAAAGCCAGCTGAAAATAAGGTATAACTGGTCAAACGTTTTAAGCCAAACTTTTTCACCATCATTTATTGAACATCTGTAATGGCCCAATTTGCAAATAACTCTAAAGTATAATGGGTGGATTTACACATCATACCAAGCTAAAACAAACAAACCCTACTTGGCATAATATAGTATTTAGCAACACACAGTTTAGGAGCAAGAGATTGACAGTTTCCAAAAAATACATTTTTTCTGGTCCTCATACTTCTCCAACAGATTTCTGTTCCATTGGGCATCTGTTGTGTCCATGTGCCCATTTTGAATTCAATCCTTTGTATGATTTGACACTTAATGAAGACTTTTTAAAGGGATCATTCTCCTTCCCAATAATTACTCTAACTCTGTCGCCTCATTTTTGGTTTCCCTCAAAATTTGTATAATCCCTAGCCTGGAACTGATACTCCAGCAATTCAGCACCCACCTTATGGTCCCTATGCCCAATCTGCAACTACATTTAATTATTTTTACTTACCAAAGACAACTAAGATGAAAAGTGCTGTTGCCACACCCGCTGTGATAAAAAACATGATGCCAATATGGTAAGCCAGCTCTTCCTTCTCCTCCAAGTTGGGAACCAGAACTGGGGTGAGGAGGAAACCAGCTGCAATGCCAAGCTAAATGAAAAAATACAAATAACTTGTCACTTCTTAAATATGCAAGTGCCTTAATAGAATACCTATTGTTAAAATATTGTGTAATATTTTAACAAGTTGTAGGAAAATATCATTGTGATATTGCCCCTAATCTTTCTAATAATAATATCAATACATTTCATATAATTTTGAATTTTACTAGTATCATTGTATTTATGGAAACTTATATTTTTATATTTATTATAAATGCCCCAAAGATAAAGATCTTAAATCTATTAATGATCTTAAGAAATTATTTTGTGCATGTGTGTATATAGCTTCCTTCAATGTATCACTGCATAGTTCTAAGAGACCAGAAATAAGGATTAAAATATTATAACAACTCACAAAATGATGAAACCTTAGCAGGAATGACAAAAACCTTACAAAATAATGTTTATAAACACCAGTTATGAATGAACAAATACTTGCCTTTCTTTCCAAAAACTTCCAAGGTCAATGGATTTATTTTTCTTAGGGAGTTTCTGGGGTTGCCAAGAAAGTGGATCTCAAACAACTACAAAGAATGCAGGGCAAGGAGCCCTTTTTAAGACACTGTATAAGGCAGTGATGGCGAACCTTTTAGAGACTGAGTGCCCAAACTGCAACCCAAAATCCACTTATGCATCGTCGAGTGCCGGGTGGGTGTGGCCCATTGGTTGGGCATGGCCAATTGGGTGGGCGTGGCTGCGGTGGTAACAGCAGACTGGGTGGGACTAAAAAGTTCAATCAATCAATTCCAACTTTGCAAGAACTTTTTTTTCCCCGCGAGAAGTTGAAATTGACTGATTGAACCTTTTTTTTTCTTTTGCACATGGCGGCAGAGGCCTAAAGCGAAAAGGTTTTGTAAAACCCAGGCCTAGGACTGGGGCGACGACGCGCGTGCCCACAGAGAGGGCTCTAACTGCCGCCTCTGGCACCCGTGCCATAGGTTCGCCACCACTGGTATAAGGTATATTATCTTTCTTTAACGTAGCATCTTACAGATATGTTGAATTAGAATTGACAAGATTGTAATCCAAAATACCTGGAGGTCACTACTGGTAGCTTGGAGAAGTCTGGCCTACGCAGAATTATCTAATTTGGGAATGACATCAATAAAATAAATTATTCAGGGACTGCCAGTTTATCTGCTATTGGAGTGGGTGTTATTGAATTGATGAAAGAAAGAAAAAAGAGATTATGTTTAAAAGGAAAACAGAACAAAATTAAGAGGTCATGCCTCACTAGGTAAATTCTTCAAAGAATTAAAAAAAATTATAATATGCAGCATTTTTTTAATAGGAGGAAAAAGAGATCTATCAATAGCTTTCTGTGTGCTCGGAACTCCATGTCAAATCCCCTCCCTTTCCCCATTACAGCTGTACCATAATCAACATATGTGCTTACTCACTTTCTCTCTCAAAAATGTTCAATAGTATGAGAAAAAGTCAAATTTGTATCTGTCCCACTAAAAGATCTGTCTTTATAGAGCTTCCATGGTATCTTAAAATGCAATAATAGGTTCAGTAGTAGCAGTTTCATTTGCAGTCAATCAAAGAGTTTGCCCTTTGGGTCCACTGCTTTTATTACTTACAATCACCTAGGCCAGTGGTGGCAAACCTATGGCACTCAGAGCCCTCTCGATGGGCATGTGCGCCATGCCCCAGAGATGGCAACTGTCCCTCTTTAATCAGCTCCCTACTAACTCGCCGAGGTCCCACATGGCCGGATGCATCCCAGCACCCATGTGCTCGCTGGCCTCTGTGTGCAGGGGCCGATGGTGTCAGGCAGCAGCCGCCCCGCCCCTGACTCGCCTTGCCCTGTGACAATGGCACCCCCACCCTGCCTCCTCTTGCCTCGCGAGCCTCCTGCCCATCACCCCACCTGCCAGAGACCCTCTGGATCTCCCCCAACCCTTCCCGGCCCCCACAGGCGTCCCTCCCCACGAGCAACATCGAGCTGGCCATGCCCACCCTGGCCACGCCCACCCAATCTGCCATGACTGCCACAGCCACAGCCACCCAGTGGGCCATGCCCACCTGGCACCCAGCGATAAATAAGTGGCATTTGGGTTGCAGTTTGGGCACTCGGTCTCTAAAAGGTTCGCCATCACTGACCTAGGCCAGTGGTGGCGAACCTATGGCACGGATGCCAGAGGCGGCACTCAGAGCCCTCTCTATGGGCACGCGCGCCGTTGCCCCAGTCCTAGGCCTTCCAAATAAAACCTTTTATACAACCTTTTCGCTTTAGGCTTCCGCCGCCGTGTGCAAAAAAAAAGGTTCAGTCAATTTCAACATCTCACGGGGAAAAAAATCTTGCAAAGTTGGAATTGATTGATTGAACTTTTTAGTCCCACCCAGTCTGCCGTTACCACTGCAGCCACACCCACCCAGTGGGACACGGCCACCCAATGGGACACACCCAGCCAATTGGCCACACCCACCCGGCGCCCGACGATGCATAAGTGGGTTTTGGGTTGCAGTTTGGGCACTCAGTCTCTAAAAGGCTCGCTATCACTGACCTAAGCAATAGAAATTGAAACTATCCACAGTATAGAATATCACCCCATCTCAGAATGTAGCTCCACAATAACCATACATTCCCAACATGCTATAACTATCATCATTCTCTTTATTAAGATTTAATATAGTCATCCATTTCAGGTTGGGTAGATTTGGAAAGCTTTTAGAAGAACAAATACAAACACATGTTTAGAAAATGAAGTTTAAATTTATAATGGGACTTGATTATAACCTTTCAAAAATGTGGCTTTGCATGTTGCTGTTTTTCTTTCTCCCAAAAATCCTTAAAAAGTTGTTCTAAAATATATGACAAGAATAACACATGGGGATCTCAGGGAAGCATAATGCACAAAGACCCCCTTTGAGGAACCCCCTGAGAGTGCAGTTTAGAAATGTGAAAAATAAACCAACAAACCACTGAAAACAGGCAAAACTCCAGGAAGAGTTATTAGAAATAACCACTGTAGTGTTATCTCTTTCATTCTAAAGGTTGAGTCCTGGTGACTTCATGGATGTGGAATAAGTTTTTGTCAATAATATGGGATTAGTTGTTGCTCCCTGGATATTTCTCAGTCTAACTTACAGTCCTGGTATTTCCTGACTTATCTCACCCAAATATTAATCAGGACTGACTTCACTAGTTTCTGATTCAAGATAAGGTCTATCAGGTGCTGCCAACTACTGAAGCTCTATATCAGTGGTTCTCAACCTTTTTAATGCCGCGACCCCAACCGGTCGTAAGTCGAGGACTAAACCGGTCGTAAGTCGAGGACTAAACCGGTTGTAAGTTGAGGACTACCCAACCGGTCGTAAGTCGAGGACTTTCCCTGCCTGGGAGCGCTGCGCATGCGTGGTTCTGCCCCCTGCGCCGGCCGAGGCGTAGCTGGCAAGCGGCAGAGACGGAGCAGGCCGACCACCAGCTGGCCCAGCCCAAGGGAGGTAAGGCACCCGCCGGAAAAGGGGAAAAAAATGGCGGACAAAAAAAATGGACAAAAAAAATGGCAGACAGCCTTGCTTGGCGACCCCCATGAAATGGTCGATCGACCCCAAATGGGGTCCCGACCCACAGGTTGAGAACCACTGCTCTATATGACCAATCTGCACTGAAATAAATTAAAGAGATGGATTCTGAAATAAAACAAACTCTTCTAACATAAGAAAAGTATAACTATTCCAGCAGTATGAATAACAAAGATATGCAACTGAAGCTTTCACTCTACAACATGAATTCCTGCTAGCACTGTATAAACAGACTTTATTACATCTATAAAACAGTTTTAATAGTTTTTAATAAAAACTACAAATTACATAAATTCTGTAACTGAAAAGCAGGAAGAATTGCATTAACTCCTCCAGGGCTGATATAGTTAACAAAAGAATTGTGTGAAAATAAATAAAACAACCAACAATCCTTACAACTACAGTATATAAAGATATACAGTAAAGGGTTAGTGCTGACTAAAGCAGGTCAGCTGAACAGGTATAATTCTTTATTAGGAAACAAGCATATACTGAGGCATTTTATTTCAGATCCATTTTTTTCCCCAAGTATAGATTTCTGGCAAAGGAAACTGGAAAGACAGTCTTCAGCAGACTGTCATGGTCTCCAAACATTTGAGACTAGTATCCAAGCTGCCTGATAATGAATTACTCTTACCCTGAACAAAGCAAAATCAAAGCTGTTTCCACAGGCTGCTCTTTACATGTGGAATCAGAATGTCTGTTATTATGATTTTCTGTGATGACTTTGTTTGTTATTGTCCCAAAATGTTTCACAACAGCAGAGTAAAACAAAATTGAGGTCAGCAAGCTAAAACACACAGTACCTTTTAGAAACATATGAGGAAAGAGTACTGAGAAAAGTGTTCACAGGTACCAAGTTATTCCCATCTTCTGTCTTTGGAAGACAAATCCAAATTCTGAAATGAACTTTGTGTCACATTTAACTTTTCAGAAACAAACTTGTCTCCATGGTAGAACCAAGGATGCCAACTAAGCCTACAAATCATTAACTCCCACAATGTTTGTTGGAGGTCTTCACTTGCCAGACACTGCCCTAGAGTCCTTCTTTATTATCCCATATCCTGAAGCTCGTCACAGTAATGTATATGCCTGAAAAGTACAATCTGAAAAGGATCAAATTCACCATTATCTTTATATTATTATTATGGTTTGTTGTGTAGTCAGCCAGATGTTTATACTGGATTTGTCATTTTTAATCCCCCTATCGAGTCCTTCCCCAGAACTTGATACAGGCAGATGTGAATGTTTGATGGTCTTACATTATTATCGTTAAATTTATGTCACCTAGTTCACCATGGGGCTATTTTAGGCAGCTCACAACAATAAAAATGGAAATGAAAAGATATGTAAATATAACAGTAGCAAAGTAATGAAACAATAGAATAAATAATGAAAAAGAAAACAATGAGCATAAAACAATAGGAGCATAAAAGATGGGTGGGCGGGGAAGCAGGG